ACATGGGAGTATATCAGGCCGGTACAACAATGGATTTTGCTGCATTGTTCACCGAGGAGCCTCGCAAGTTCCTGATAACACGTTTGTGCGGGGTGGTCAGCCATCCCTATCTTGACCGCACACTAACCAGGCTCAACATTTTTGTTTGCCTGCTGAGCTTCTGAGAACCGACTAGGCCGGGCGCAGTCCGAGTGATCTCGGTCGTGGGAATTGTTCCATATATATTATATAATATATATTTTATTATTTTGTTGTTTCCCTTCAACGTGACTTTACCGAAAGAACTAAGAATATGAATAGGATGGGGATAGTTTATTTTTATTTATTCGTTTGGGTAATTTGTTCACCTTTCTTGTACTTTGCACTGCTATCTTGTTTTTATTGTTGTAACATTCTTACCCAGTGCCCCTACTGGACATCTGTGTAAAAGAGCTTTATAGAGCATCAGATTCCACCAGTATAAATACATATTCTGATTCTGCCCTGCCCAAGCCCACTTTGACTTAACAGTTAGCATTGCGTCACTCACCTGCGTGTATTCTCGAATGTAGACAATCTCGTGCTCGCTAAATTCACGTTTCGAAATAATCCAGACGGAAAATTAATTTGAATAATCAGCCCAAAGCAAATCATTGACCCTCGGTATTCGTGGATATCGTCGAGGTACTCCAGCTGCCTCCCCCATACCAAAACGCCCTTTAATGGAATTGACCGGCCCTGACAAAAGTCTTGGCACTCAACCGAGGGGACAGAATGCACCCCAAGAGCACCGCCACACACTGAGGCTTCAGTGATGACATCAGTTCACGTGCAAATGGCACAGATTGTGGGCATCGCAGGATCACGAGACGTGGCGACGACCATGGGGGGGACCCTCATCCAGCAGTAGACAGATGACGGCTGAAGACGACGATGAAATACCGACAAATAAAGGCATTGCTGTATTGGCAATTATTTAATTCTGGCGAGTTTGGGAAGCGTACACACAAAATCGCAGGTAAATTATTCAACACAATTTAGATTGGTAACCCCAAAGAGCTATTACAACCGGCTCAATCTTAGAATGCCACTTAACAGTGAGTTGACCAGCACTGGAATGAAATGTAGGCGAGGCAAAACCCATTCGATTGTAATCACCGTCTCCACCGGAGGCATTAATGAACAGCGGAGCGCCAAGACCCTGCCATTTGGAGGTGGCGTCGCGGAAATGCCCTCTCCGATGTGGGGAGCGCTCACCGCATATGACCTCCGCCTACCGACAACACCAAGCAGGGATTTAGCAACACGAAGGCTTAAACAATACGCCAGTGGACATGGCGATTGATCTGTATCAGATGCAGCCGGAGATGTCTAATTCAATCAATAATTGATGAATGAAGCTTAATATGCGCCCTTCTTCAAGTCACTCAGCGGCAGAGGTTTTCAAAGGGAGGTGTAACAATGCATCGATCCGTCGGAGCACCCTCGACTCTCGCGCTCGAGATACGTGCGTCGCATCGCGACTGTGAATGATACGGTCCGCGGGGACATTTCGGTGACTGGAGTGGACAGAAATGCAAAAACGGGACGGAAAACAAAACGAGACACTGTACAATACAGACCAGAGATTTTTTTAACACGTCGGCTTTCGCGACCAGTATCCACAAATGTTTTTTGTTGGGTTAGATCGCCTAAATGTAAGTGCGTTGTTAAACCCGCCACCGCCAAGACACAGCCAATTCGTACGTTTTTGTTTTTTTGCGGTTGTGCTGTACAGCTCTCCGACGCGCTTACGAGTTTGTATCGCCGCACTTGTCCAGCGTGGTGTCCGATGTTCTGCTCCACGTGCTGGTAGCTTCTCGAGGAACCGAAATTCATCCCCCCCCCCCACCTTCCTTTCCGACGAAGGCGAAATTTCAGTTGCTGCAAGCGGAGCGAAACGTCGGGCATCGCTGCGCCCAACGGCAAAACCGCACTGCCCCAAAACGCATCGGAAATAAAGAAGAAGAACAACAACAAAATAATTCCATTCTCGAATGGAATCGTGATCCCAAATTGAGGCAATTCATCGGAATCGTTCGAAGAGTTAAATTGTAATAACAAGCAGTTCTAAACCTTTCGGTCATCATGGCCCCGAGCCATGCTTCGTGAGAGTTTCCCCGAGGGTTCACCGAGCCCAAAGTGAAATGTCGCTTTGCGTGCCCCAAGCAAACGCAGCTGCCCGCGTTTCGTGTTCGGCTTCGATGCAGACGACAATTGCTGGAATCGGTCATTGTCGTTTGGCTTTGCCGGTGGAAAAACAAACAGGACACAACCCAAAAGTGCTTTTTAGGGGGGGGGGGGGGTTGCAGTGACTTAGCCCCCCCCCCCGTCGCTCCCCTCCCCCTTATTTCTGGCCAACAGTTATCTATCAAAAGGGGAAACCCTAAAGCCAGATGGCTGCGGGATGGCTCTGTAAAAGAGCGGAACTTTAGAGGTCGGATGTGGGCGTTAGCTGAGCCAACACCTTGCGGAATCTGCTCGCAGCGATAGCAGAGATGCGGCTGCCATCAACAGCACGGACAGCAGCGACCTCCGTATCTTGATCAATTCACCGCAGCTGACGGGACGCTGTTTCCGCGTCGGTGTGGTACGCGCCACGCTGGGCTCTTAAACCCAGACGGAGGTCACCGCTTCGATTCGACCACCCGGCGTGGCAGCTGAACCAGCGGGGGCAGGTTTTTTTTTTTATCTAAGCACCACCACCACCGCCCTCGGCTCTGTCCACCCAGCAGTGTCTAGAAAACGTGCGTCTGGAGCTGTGCATTTTGAAATTATCCAGATTGAAAACTAATTTTCTTTCGAACAGAATTTTATGTTTAGTGTTGTTGTCCTTCCTCCGCACCTCCGATTAGCACGGTTGGCTACGTACGGTGCGAAAGAAGTTCAACAAACAGCACACACTTCACCCCACCACACACACGTCGAGTGTGGTGGGGTGAAGTGTGGGTAACCCCCCCCCCCCCCCCCCCCACCTTATCCAAGACGCCTCGTCAATGTTTGATGAGTAATTGGCACTAATTCGGCACCAATTCGGCACCAATTCCATCGGAGGCCCTCCCGACAGAGCATCGACGAGGGCATGAAAATCCAACACCTGCCCCCTTTGCCAAACCACTGGTGCTGAACGTGGAGCGTGCGAGGGGCGCTTGCTACGGTGAATCAATCACTACAATTATTATTGTACGAAACCAGATTTGACAAATGGATGCAGAGGAGAGGGCGTATAGGAGGCTGCCGGGGGAGGCGGGCGGGGGGGGAGAGGGGATATGTGCGCGTCGAGTCTGGGAGGGAGGGAGTGAGAGACAGTGAGTGGAGGAAGCTCAGTTGGGGGTCAGACAGGGGCAAGGGGAGAGCGTGGGGGGGGGGGTGTTGGGGGGGTGTTGGGGGGGGGCATGGCCTTGCGGGGGATGGGAATGGGTCTGTGAATGCACAGTGCCCCACGATGAATCGATTGACGATACATCGATATCACGTATTTATTGTGCTGGGAGACCACGGCTACTGTGTCCGCGTGTCGAGAATCCACAGCGATGTGCGATATCTTGAATTTCTAATAATGAAGCGGCTACGCATCGTCATCGTCGTCAGGCGTGCTCCATCCACTGCTAGATGAAGGCCTTGCCAAGTTGCCGCCCCCTTCTCTCGCGATTCTGCAATGATGGGCCTCAGCACCAGCACACGGGCTGATTTCGTCGCTCCATCTCATCTCGTATTATTGAGACTTGGTAAAGCCCGCAGCGGAGGTGCACATATGATGATGAGGGATGGGGTGGGGGGCTACAATAGGAGTTCCTCCCACCCCTACCACCTCGGGGACTGTAAGTCATAGACCGTTGTTTCGAGATGTTCCATGAATTTCAAATTGGGGCAAATCATTATTGACGTAAAATCTTGACTTAAAGCTTTCGTGACTGCAGGAATTCATATTCTTTGGGTCTTTCGGTAAAGCCACGTAGATAGAAAAATAATAAAATTATCACGACGTTTCGATCGCAACACAAGAAATCGTCATCAGGTATGGCTTTACCGAAAGACCCAAATAACATTATTGATGTACATTTTTTCTTATACATTTTACGCTATATAATAAACAACGAATGTGTACGCGGTTATCTTGTTTCCAGGCAATGAATGGCTCCGTATTACAGATTTCCACCCGTCTGACCTGTTAGCTGGCTTCTTTAGTGAGCCTCTTTGTTCACGATAATAACCCTCTCCAAGGCCAGAACACCTCCGGCATGTAGATGTGTGCAACCCACCGGGCTCTCTCACCCATTGTGAATTAAGACGCCCTATGTCACCGTCTGGGGGGAGTGAATACGGATCTACGGTTTGTAAGACTCATTTACGCGTGGCCTCTCCCAAGCTTCGGCAATTACAATTCGAGGCTAATAAGCGCGAGGAGGCATTTTTTGTTGTGTTCAAAGCGGGCGCCGACACGCCACGCGCATCACCATCTCATCTCCCCATTCGACACAAAGACCTCCAACCTCCTCGACAGATATATCAAGCCCCCGAGCCTCAACCTCTCTCATCCCGAACGCCACGAAGCCCACAGCCACTGCACCCTCACAATTGCTCCATCTCAAGCGCCTCCCCCCTCCACCACTTCCCGTCGACACCGCAAAACCCAACGTAAACGCGGTGTTGTGAAGCAGTGCATTGATTGACGCGTGGCGTGAATGGCACTTCGCGTGTATGGCCAACGCGTGCCTTCTAGCGGTGGGCTGGGTGCATTATATGTAAATGTAAAACAGCAAAGAACGTCTACAAAATTAGTGCGGTGCCCCCCACGTGGGGACGGTAATGCTTACCACCATCCCCCTCCCTCCCTCCCTGCCCCCGACCCCATCCGAGATGATGAATTGTCACGATTCGGGGTTCGCGAAAATAATTCAAGGGGCAGCTTATTTTATGGTCTCATTTTTACCATCTCCTTTGTATTGTTTCTCATTTTTTGTTTTGGCTCGTTTGTACAGTTTCGTTCCTCTACCCATGTCGAGGACTCGATCTACCAGACTGACTGTTTCAGCTCATCCATATTGTGTTCAACCAACACAATGCAGGTCAAAAGCACTTCTCTTTTCCCGCGTCTTGCCCTTTGCACCTCTGCGCATTTTTTGGAATTTCCTCCGCCGTGGTTTCCTTTTCCCAAGTTGTGATGAGCTTCTTTGCCCCTCTTGTTGCTGCTAAATTCAATGAACGTGTTAACGCTTTGTCAATTGCCACGTTAACGGTTTGCTGTTTGTTCGCTGGCTGCTTGGCGCGTGTTTTTGGGCCTTTGAGCCTGTGCTCGGCAAAAAACCGTGATTTTTTAAAATTGTTATGCCTAAATGTAACGCGAGCATCGTACGATATTTTGTTGCATGTAATTTGTATGAATCGTGAATAGTGATTCGCCGCGTTGCGTGTTTGATGCATGTATCATGAGCATGATATTTTGTTTTCAATCGATGAATCGTGACCTGCCTCGCATTTACATTTCTAAAACATTCAAACCGCTGCAATTTTCCTGGATAACGGTCTCTCAAACTCCAGTCCTCACGCCCCATCGTGGTGCAGGTTAACCAACGGTTGCCAAACCCACGGTTACCAAATACTCTCCTTTACAAACGAGGTAACGTTGCGTGTGTCTGCAGAACGGTAAACACTGAGCTCACCAGCAGTGGTGCCAGAGAACTGGGGTTTGAGAATCTCCTATGACAATGAAGCCCTATCCCCGGAAAAAAAAAGAAAAAACATCAAATTTTTTAATTGACAGTAACAATATTTGATCATTTTTGTTGTTGATACCTTGCTCCTCCCAAAAGTGGGATATTGTTGGTGATGTGTAAAGGAAAGCGAAGAACTTCGTGCTTCAGAAGAAGAGTTGCAACCTTCTCCATCAAATTGACGAGACAGATGTTACCGCTTTTTTATAGTGGCCTAACCAACTGAGAATTGGAGTAGTGCATTGAAAGTTGGGTGATAGATAAGAAAGCGAAACACACTATGACGATTGTCTGGAACCACAAAACGATTCGTTGCTGAGAAAGAGAATGAATAGCAAACTAGACAGAGATGAGAAACTGAAGATTGAATACACAGAACGATTAGAAAAATAATGGGAAAAGGAATCAATAAACACAAAGACAACCATGATTGAAGACATCATAGCAAGGTATGGGAGCATTAAAGCAGCAATAAGGAGGTTGATGATTTGCATTTTAAAACATTTCCATGTGGTAGCCCTTATGGAGAAAGGCTAGTACCATAACAATTCCTCCATTGTAAAATCAATGGAGGAATTTTAAGCAGATCTCCAATAACAAATTAAATTACATAGCCTATAAATCAGATCATCTTTCAGATGAAGAGGAAAAGCTTCCAGATGTCACACAGGAAGAAGTCAACTCTGCACTTCGCACTTCAATGAAGAACCTCTGATTAGCATGGTTGGCTACGTTCGGTGTCAAAGAAGTTCAACAAACAAACAAACATACAAAGGGCAAAGCTCCTGGACCACATGGTATAACTGTGGACATCATTCAAGAAGTAGGACTAATTGTTAAAACAATATCAGCAGACATGTTCAACAAATATTTACATAGAATTGAAAGACTGTGATCTCGGAATGATGCCTAAATCATTGTTCTATTTTCAAACTCAGATAAAACTTATAAAAGTCCTACATACATTCTAGCCCATTATCACACACTTCCCACACCTCCGATGAGCACGGTTCGCTACGTACGGTGCGAAAGAAGTTCAACACACAGACAAATTGTTCACTAACATTGTTGAGAACAAATTAACGAACATTTAGAGGCCAACCAGCCATGTGAGCAAGCAGTGTTTGGCAAAGGTTTGTCTTTCATCGATTACATTCAACATTAATTAATCACGATCTGGAAAAAAAAAACCCAAATGAATTTCATTCACCATGGCGCCTGACCATTGTAGGCTTTGACAAAGGCATTCGGCTCGGGGGAAATTGATGCAGTCATCCAAGCTGTCACAAGGAAAGGCATAAATATATTGTTTTGTTTTGTAAAAATAAAAAACATTTGCCAACATGGAACAGCCGCACGAAGATTACACGAAGAAAATACCAGCGTTGGGGACTCAGACAGTCCGGTACATTTGCGCCAAAGTTATTCACAACAACATACGATATTTTGCAGGAAGTGGATCGGAGAAAAGACGCACACAATTCCGCGGAGAAAACATCCAACTTAGCTGTGCTGTCAGTATCGTCATTACAACGCCCAGTGGCAATAAACTTGGAGGAAAGAGTTAGAAGCACAGACTAAATACGGCTGAAATATTCAGACTCATGATAAATAAGAGCAAGCAAAGGTCACGTATAAACAGTTCTTGGGTGGGGGGCGGGGTCATTTGGAAATACAGCACAATACGTACACCTACAACAGCCGTCGATCTTCCACGTAAGTTTTATGGGCCACAACTCTAAACCACAGCTGCACAAACCATGGCCAGCAGACGCAAAAAATGTAAAGTGTAAAACCCCTGTCTGCGGTGAGCGACTGTGGTCACCCAGAACAGAACCGCGAAAAATCTCACGAACTCAGTGGTCCAGTTGACAAATACGAAGAGTGTGGGGGGGGGGGGGGCATCATCATTATAGTGACGCACCGCTCCGCTACTTCCGACGCAAATTATGTGGCTCAACGACCTAAATGAAAAACTTCTGTATAGGTGTTGCACTTCATCAATAGCCGCCACGCCTGAGGTTCCTTGAGTGACCCGAGGAGCCATGCTCAATAAGGGCACCCACATCCGCCAGGCACTTGGCAACCAGTGTGGTGAAGTATGGTCAAAATAACCCCCTTGACCAAACATGCGTTGGCAGTGGGTGCACAAGCATAGATAATAATAATAATAATTTAAATAAGTAAACTCAATACATCAACAAAATTGTGGCCTTTAAAGGAAGATTTTACATTGGGGGATGTTTTTTTGGCAATGGCCCTTCATTGCACATAAATAAAGGAACATTTATGTGCGATGACTCAAAGTTTCGATATGAGCAACACATGCTTACACACCACTGGTGGGGGAAAGCTCAGGGCAACATTCTGATACAAGCACACTGCTCCGGATAAAGGCACTGGCGACTTTGCTCCCAGAGGAGTGTGCTTTTGATGTCGCTCACCTCCGGTGTTAGCACGAACCCAAAATTGAACTCGGGTCACCTTGCACTTAACCGCTGCGCAAGGGGAAATTCCCCAGCCGAAAATGATGGGGCGCATGTGTGTGACAGATTGTTTGCAAGGGGCTTCTTCACTTTACGTATTTTCAGCTCCCAGTGATACGTGGCAGGCCGAGCGTTTTTTAAGTTTTGGGCTTTGAGCTGGCACAATGCATTGCTTTAATGCTGTGCACTGCGCGATATTGGAGGTGCGCACCTCAGCTGTTGTTCATGCGTCGCATGAGGGTACAATCAGCATCTCGGAGGTCTCCCTGATGCGATTCTATTGCTGTGAATGACAGAGAGTCAAGTGATAAATATATATTTTAAATATCTTCCTTTGTTTGCACTTCCTATGGGTAAGGATTGCAGAATAATATGGATACTATATTTAACAACAGAAAACCCCTCCTCCAGGCTGCGATATATGTGATAAACTTACACGTGAATAACTTTTTTTTCTTTCAAATAATCCAGTGAACTGGATCCTTTTTTTGTACTCGGTGCAAACCCCGAAAACGCGCCTGAGAGCTACACACAGAGCCACCACGGGAAAAAAAACCCACGCAGGAGCTTTTCCTGAGCTTCCTTTGCAGAGGCTTTGGAGTGTTATCCCTCCTCAGATTTGGTGGATTCTCTTCCAGGTATCCCAGTTCTCCTCCCACAGACCAAACACTGAAATTGGCCAAACACTCCAATGCGGGAGAACCCTTCTGGATAGGAGTCTTGAGACGCACTTGAAGCTGTCATTGATGAACACCAACTTTTATTATCGTTAATTTCCCTAAATAAATAATGTTCATAATATCATTGCGTACAGTGCAGTCGTATTTTGCAACCCACAGCCTCATTTTTTCCAATTTACTAAAGAATCGGTTTGTTGCGTAGTGGAATAGTTGAGCCACTCTACTTGAAATTCAAAATTTGCCAGTTCGTTTAGAGATCTCCCAACAACGGAAGTTGAAAAACAATGGATGCAGTTGAAACAATGGATGCAATTGAAACAATGTATGCAGTTAAAGCAAGGTATGCAGTTGAAACAATGGATGCAGTTAAATAAATGTATGCCGTTGAAACAATGGTTGCAGTTGAAAAACAATGGATGCAGTTGAAACAATGTATGCAGTTGAAACAATGGCTGCAGATGAAACAATGGTCGCAGTTGAAAGAATGGTCGAAGTTGAAACCATGGTTGCAGTTGAAACAATGGTTACGGGATTCTTGTCCATCGAGAAGTATAAATGGGTGCGCCATAGTTAGTCATTACGTGCGGTGGGGGTAAAGTGTGGGTAATCCCAGCTCTTCCAAGACGAGTAGGCCAGCATAGAAGAGCAGGCCAAAATACCTCCTGGTGGGGAGGCCCTTCCACCAGCCATGGAAATTAATTTCATGGCGCCATCATTCCCCACCTTTACGAACAAACAAAAAATGTAGCCGTGGTAAGATCTTGAATTTTTATGGCCCACGTACGTTAATGTCCGAGGTATGAATGTCTTACTTACTTGCACCGTCGGTCTGTCTTCATGGAGGTTTTTTGCGTGGTTTAACCAAAGGAATTTTGTGCTTGGTCGCTCAGTGTCGAACTCAGAAAGAGCGAAGACGAGGTAAAGGTCAACACACATGTGCGTGTTGGTGCAGTTTCTTGCATACGAAGATTATTCTCCCACTGAACCAGCCAATAACCTCTTTAATTTGTTCTCTAATACGGATTTGTCGGCTATTCCACTGAGGGTCGCCCATGGGTTATTCCCCACGCAGCCAGGGGTAGGAACACACAGAGACAGGCCTATCGGCAGGCCCAGTTTGAGTGCTGAGGCTTTAGAACATGTTTAGACAAGACGTCGCGTATCCCATTCGCTGTGGGACAGAGGTATC